ACAGGACTGAGCGGCGGGTAACGTCCCCAATGGCTCTCCGAGCTCTCGATTGTAGCGGCAGGAGCCGGCCATTCAGAGGCGTGGGGCCGGGCTTTGCGGGCGCTTGTTGTCCGGCCGGGGGAGGCAGAGGTCGGTCGGTAGCTCGCTCGTTAGCTGGGACGATCTAGGGCGGTCGGCGGGCAGGTCAGTCGCGATAGTCGGGCGCCGTACAGGGGCGAGGCTATGTCGCGGTGGCAGCCCGGATGGGCCGGCACGGCCAGGAGTAACGGGATGTCGCCGCGGAGCTTCTTCCCCCGGATACAGTACGCCCCGAGCGGAGGCCGCGGCGCCGCCCTCCGGTTCTGAGGATCCCACGCTGCCCGGAACCCGCACGGCCTTCTCACCCGCACGAAGACCAACCGACCTGACCCGGCTTGGCTCTGCCCTGCCAGACAGAGCGCAGCGTAAGTAGGTAGGTGTCAGTCCTTTGCCCGGTGCCATATCGGGGCCTCCAGAACTACAGCCCCCAGCAGGCCTCGCGCCGGCGCATGCGCGTCTGGGGCGCACGGCCTTCTGGGATTTGTAGTTCGCGGCTAGGCTGGGGTTCGGCTAGACCGGGGCGGGTAGGCGGGTGCTGCGCGGCTGACACTGGATTCGCCGACTCTGGATCGGCCTAGCGGCCCGCGGACAGGCCATTCCGGGGTCGTAAGGCCTCCCTCTGCTACCGAAGAAACTAGGCACACTTTTGGAGAAGAGCCAAAGAGTCTATAGGTTTCCTCTTACCCTCGTTAGAAAGCGGCCCTTAGAGCAGGGAAGAGCGCGGCATCTAGGTGACCTCCAGCCCGAGCCCCAGGTGTCCGGGTTACAAACCGGGTGCGGGTTCTTACCCTGGCTAAGGAGTCGGGCCGGACGGAGAGTGCTGGATACAATTCCCTTTGCGGGCTCTTTTGTAGGGATGGGGAGTGTTGAGGGAGAGACTAAACCAGCAGTCTTGTGGTGAGCAGTAGCCCTTGTGTGCCTCCCAGCCTGGCCCCAGTACTCGAATGAGATGCAGGGGGTGTGGCTGAGTTGGTGCCTGGACTTGCCACAGCCAGGTAACAAGATCTCATCGCTTCTCCTGCCAGTGCTGTGGGTTTGGGCACAGGCTGTGGGAGGGACCCAGCTTGTTTACCTCGGCTCCATTTACGGGAGAGGACTGAAGGTGGAGGTCCTGGGGCCAGATACCCATGGACTGGCCTGTCCCCAATCAGCACTAGCCTCTCGCAGCACGGGACCCCCTCTCCAAGGACATGAAGCTGTTGGAGAACTCGAGCTTTGAGGCCATCAACTCACAGCTGACTGTGGAGACAGGAGATGCCCACATCATTGGCAGGTGAGACTGGGGCTCTAGGGGCTGATGACTCAGGTCACTGTGCCCTGGTCCTGTGTTGAACTTGGGGGTGACTTACTCCACGGTCCCACCTGCATCCATCTTGCAGGATTGAGAGCTACTCATGTAAGATGGCAGGAGATGACAAGCACATGTTCAAGCAGTTCTGCCAGGAGGGCCAACCACATGTGCTGGAGGCACTGTCCCCACCCCAGACCTCGGGCCTCAGCCCCAGCAGGTGAGCCTGGGCACAGCCTGCCCACTGGGGGCTGTCGGGTGCAGGGTAGTACTGGGCTGATGCTTCTCTGTGCAGACTGAGCAAGAGCCAAGGTGGCGAGGATGAGGGCCCCCTCAGTGACAAGTGCAGCCGCAAGACCCTCTTCTACTTGATCGCCACACTCAACGAGTCCTTCCGCCCTGACTATGACTTCAGCACTGCACGAAGCCACGAGTTCAGCCGGGAGCCTAGCCTCAGCTGGGTGAGGGTTGGGTAGGGGGAGGGACCCGCAGCCCATAGCTATACCCACTGTCCTCCCTCCCCCATTTTCAGTGGCTCCTGAGCTCTACCCAGTCCATGCCTGCTGTCCTGGTACCTAGTCAGCCTGAGCTGTGACTGTCCTAGGTGGTGAATGCAGTCAACTGCAGTCTGTTCTCGGCTGTGCGGGAGGACTTCAAGGCCCTGAAGCCACAGCTGTGGAATGCAGTAGATGAGGAGATCTGCCTGGCCGAATGTGACATCTACAGGTGGGCTTGCATCCCTGCAGTGGGCTCTGGGTATGCATGGCACTTGGGACCTCATATCAATCTCACCACACACTATCCAGCTACAACCCGGACTTGGACTCAGACCCCTTTGGAGAGGATGGCAGCCTTTGGTCCTTTAACTACTTTTTCTACAATAAGCGGCTTAAGCGGATTGTCTTCTTCAGCTGTCGCTCCATCAGGTTGGCACCTCTCCCTTACCCCAGCTCCCTGTTTGGCCCACCCCATTCCTGTCTTCCCTGGACATCCTCCCTGGGGTCAGCAGCAGGCCAGGGTGGACAGTCCTAAGAGTGGTTCCCCACCTCCCCAGTGGATCCACGTACACACCCTCAGAGGTGGGCAATGAACTGGACATGGAGCTGGGGGAGGAGGAGGAAGAGCTCAGAGACGGCGGCAGTGAGGGCGGATCTAAGGCCAGCCCCATGGAGGACAGGTGTGTGATGGCTCCCTGGAGCCTGGGGTGGGCCCAGCAGGGTGGGGCCCCTCTGCCTGGTCTTCAGGGTGTTAGCTCCTCAAGGCTAGCTGTGTGCCTCCCTCTGTTCAGAGTCCCAGTAATCTGTATGTGAGGAGAAGCAGAGGCCCACGCTTCATCCAGCTCCAACCAGTGCCTGGACCTGCCCACCCGAGGGGCCCCAGGCCCTCCCCAGCTGCTGGCCAGACCCTGGCGCTGCCCACTTAGCCCTTTGGTTCCAGCCTATGGATGGTCACTCACCCCCCCAGACTCTGCTGCCCACATTGTGGCTGTACGGGACAGACAGCACAGGGCCTGGTGGGAACAGCCACTGCCCTGCCCAAACGAACTGACACAAACAGGAACAGCTGAACCACAGAGTTTATTTTTGTATTTTGTACTCTGATCCTTCACACTCCAGCCCAAGGAGCCTGAGACCCAGCAAGCAGGCCCCAACAGTCATTCGCCCTGGGCTTGGGCCACCTCTTGGCGCCCGCCTGTACTCCCCACCTTGCCTGTTGGGCAGCGTGCACTGAGTGTCACTTTGCTGCAGCTTGTTTGTTTCCAATAAAAGTTTATGTGACTTACTGTGGACCTCGGCTGTGTGGCAAGGGGGCGGGGCCTGTGTCGAGGGCGGGGCTACGTCATTTAGTATCCTAGCAACAGGCGGTAGGGGCGTTGAGCCGCTTGGACCTGCAGCCGCCAAAATGGAGACGGACGTATCCGGTGCAAGCAACCCGTTTTCAGTAGAAGGCAACAGCGAGACTCTGGACCCAGACCTGGACGACGCTGACAGCTGTGACGTCCCAGAGCCCGGGCCGCTCCGAGAACGGCAGGG